AGGGGTATGAAAAGATTTAAATAAGCGTCAAAAGAGGGGTAATACGAGATAAATGTGTTCTAGATAGCCAGATACAAACTCCTTCGTCATTCCAATCTTCAAAACATGCCAAATACGAAACAACCAAATTAAACCAACAGAGAAAACCGTACGTAATATCTTTTTATTTGCACCGAATTGATAGCCATATTCCGCACATTGCCTTCTCCATTTGTTATTACAAAGCCACCATTGGGACAACACTCTGTTACCACGAACGGTTTACCCCTGCCAATTTGGGGCAGATTGCCTTTAGCCTTCAAACCCAGATGGCCGGCATGATGTAATTTCAACAGGGTTTTATTATTTTCATATGCTCCATTTTCACACAACACTCGGGCTTAAGTGATTCTCAAAAATGCCATTTGCTTATTTCCCTCACAATGTCCATATATCGGTCCAATTGCTTCAAGATCAAACTAAATTTTTATTTAAATAAGAAAAAAACAGGCTGAAATTAAAGCGTGCATATTCATGTCGCTAAGGGTCAACAGGAAAAGGACTATAAAAAGGAAAAGGAAAACTAACAAAATACTAGAAATAACAAAAAATAACGAAAGTTGCATTAGACAGATGGTGGAAAGGTGATTGAACAACAACACACAACAAAATGAACTGGCGAGTTACAACCCTGGAACTAACTAGTCAACACTAAACGACGCTACTACGACTAAACAACTAAGCAAATAAAAGGATAGAAGGTTTGAGTCATAAGACAATATCCGGATTGCAAACTTTGAAAATAATCCGGACAACAGGAAATGACAACAAAATAAACCACCAAAAACTCCTCTCCGGCTATAACCATGAAATCGGAGCGTCTTTCCAATTACCAAACACGGTATCTTAGCCACTGGTCACGCTCAATATTGCTCAGGACCTTCACAAGTCTTCCATCACATGTTCTTAAACAAATTGCCTTTTGGTTCCCTTTGCTGCTCGTTTCTTTCAGGATCAACCTCTGATAGCCTGAACAGCTTCGTAGCACATTGACCTCCGAGTATCTCAGTAGAGATTCTCAATATCTCCATCCTTTCAAAATAATATCATACCCACATATGCTCTCATTCATTGACAGGAGACTGCGACTTTGCTAGTGTCTGCATGCATCTGATTTTTTGCACAGACAATTCACCTGCGTCAAATAGCTTTCTGAATTGCTCTTTTTCAAGTGCCAACACTTTTCTGGTCTGTGACCCGGGCTCGGTTAGCAATATGCCCACCTTGAGAAAAATCAAATTCATGTGTTAGAGGCGTTTGGCATTTTATCGGAACGGCTTAACATGCCAATTCCTCAAACTGGAAACAACTGGAATATGATCTCCAAAGGGGTTGAAAGCTCTCTTTCCAGTAGTTTCAGTAATCTGGCCCTGGTGGACCTTGCGGGCAGGTGGCTGAATATGCTGAGGGGGCGAGGTAAGACATTTGGGAAGTGGTGTGGGGCCATCGCGGCCTCGTGGTGTGGGCATATGTGGTGCATTGTGACAGGTACTGGGGAAAGTCGATGTACGACTTGGGGTTTGTGGAGAGAGTTAGCATTGGGAGGGGTCATCTGTGGCACAAGATATCCATGGGGCCGATTGTCGAGGTGAAAGTGTTGAGCGGAATGCCCAGCGGATCATCTTTTCTATTCTCTTTTCTTCCACCAAACTTACTGGGGATGTTCTGAAATGTCTTTCGTTTATCTTTCAATGCGAACAACTTATGATTTTTGCATGACTGTTCCTCTTCACCATCTCCCCCATTTTTAACACATCATTGAAAGGCTTTCTAGGGCCGGATCAAATGACTGAAGAGGTGCCTGGGCTTGTAGGAAACTCAACCATTTCTTCTTCACCAATCGGGAGGGGTACTGACTCGAGCAGCTTGCTCCCTCCATCTGAGCCCAACTCCCTAAAGCTTTCCTCCGCTTCTTTTCCATTTAGATAGGAGATGGTCTGGGTAAATGGCCTGATCTGATTGAAAGTATTGAACAAAATCTTGACCATGTCACCCAATGTAGGCCACTTGCCGATTCTTTGACGATTATGCCATTCAAAGCTGCCCCAGTCAATGCTCTACATGAAATACGCCCTCAACAAATATCTTCTCGCCAACACTTTCATTTCACTGCCAATAAACCCTTAGTGGGCTACCGGATTCTCCACACCCATCATAAAAAGTTAAATTGGCACTTTAAACCCAGTGGGCAGACGAACGTCAGGACATACACAACTCTTTGTAGACATTGTTAACCTGGCCTCCATCCCTTGCCATGTTCTTTAGGACTATTCTAGCTTTTTCAGCTTCCTGGATTCTCATCTCACCCTTCTTTCCTGAACCTTTTTCATTTTCAGCTGAGGCTCATCCCTGCGGGCCCTGCTTTATCACTTACCAAAAAAGGGTAAATTCGGGTTATTTGGGAGGGTATAAGTAACCTCCCAATTTGCATACTAGCCCCCATGAATTATACAATTTACGGGTTCTAAATTCCGCAACCTAAAATATAGCGGGTAATTTATTTTACACTCCTCCTTTTTTTTCCCAATTTTCAAACTTCCGGCCTTTCCCAATCTTTAATCTCCTCTCTA